TAATAATTAATAAAAACTTAAAGCTCAATGAATTCTTCTTTAAATCGTTAGTGAAATAAATATAATTTTTAATAATAAAATATTTTTTTATAATGTAAAAGCAATTAAAGAAACTCTTAAAAATTTACTAACTTAAAAAGTATACATTTTTGAATTTTTTAACAAAAAAATGTTTCTTTTTCTGCTGTAAAGCAAACAATACGTTTTTCGTTTCGCATTTCTCGTTTTCGCTATACGAAAACGTATTTTTTACTTGTAGCTAGCAAGTCTCTGTATTTTAATTGCTGCAATAGCATTGTACTGGTTAATATTTTTAAATAGCTTTTTAACTCATTTTTTAGTTCCAAAATGTCAACATTGTTAAAAACTGTCATTTTGAAACGAAACGGTGGAGACTCATCTGTTCACCGATAAAATCAAAGTTTCTACTTTTTTTTAAAGTGTACTTTCATAGAGATTTTAGTTAACATAAAATTTAAAATCTTAATGTTAACATAAAGTTTAAAACCCTAATGCTTAAAGTCTTTCCTAAGGAATAGATTCCAAACTAGTGCGCAGTATTCAAGCAGAGGAAAAACAAGCTGTGTAGAGCTTGAGAAACATACACACACTCCATTTTTTTAAAGTTTTATTGATCAATGTTAGTACGGATCTTGATTATGCCAACCTAGCTGACCCAAGAACGCCATCGGGCGTTCTTGGGTCAGCTAGGTCAGCAAATAGGGTAAATAAATATTTGTTGAAAATTATTTATTTTGAATGTTCAAATTTTTTTTTTTTTAATTTTTAATTCACCTCCTCAAGGCCGAGAAGGCCACTACAGACGAGGAGGCTACTTATTTGTGGCTATAACCCTCTCTCAACTCTATAACTCCGAAACACGAACCTTGACGAACAAGGCCGCTGCGCGGAGAAACGAGTTGAGCGCGGTACTACCAGGGACGTGGTGGGGATCGAACTCAGAACCACTCGTTTATGAAGTGAGCGCTCTACCACTACACCACTACCGCATGGTATTGAAATAACGTGAAGCTTTGATTTTATAGTGCAACAATAAAAACACCTATAAAATAAGAACTACTTTATATAATTTGATAAAAATGAGTGCAAATGCATCATATGACTCCATCAAACTTTTGATAAAATTTCAGTTAGATTGGTTAAATGGTTAAGGATTTATGGCAGTTTTAATATAAATTTTGTTAGATATTTCTACTTATACCTCATGACGTTACCAATTATTCAAATATTCGGTCACTGGTTTTTAAATAATGGCTACATGAGTGTTCTATAATGATATAATACCGACAATTTTGTTACAATTGTTTTATTGCTATAGACATTCTATAGACGAAAATATTGATTTGCTATTTAAAGAGTGGTTTAACTTGGCTTAAGCATTGCGTGAAAATATCAGCTTTTTCTAAGACTTAACTAATGTCAAAATGCATAAAAGTGTTAAAAATGGTTGGATAGCTATTATAAAGATGCCTAGATAAAAAAAAAAAAAATTTAGATAACTAATATAATTGACAAAAAATAAAATTCAAGGGTCAGTCGAGGAAAATTTTAAAGAAGAGAGAATAGTTCTTTGAAGAACAGTAACAACAGTAAAAATCTTTTATAGGAATTTATCTTCAAATAAAATCTCATTTAAATTGTCATTAATGTAAATAATTATTTCCTATAAAGGAAAGAATTATGTAAAACTATTTACTGTAATTTAAGTAATTATTTTCTTGATTTTAATCGTTGTTATTAATAATATTTGTAGGTATGTTAATGGATTATTACCCAATATAATTTCAAGTCAAATTTTGTAAAATGGATAGTTTAACTTATTAAAGTTGGGTTTAGTGAACTATCAAACGCTCCAAAATTGACCACTCTAGGGACTATCAAACAACGGATTAAAGAAACTGGTCAGAATGTAAACCAAACATCAAACAGCAAGATGGTAGAGACAAATTTTTAGGAGCAGGTCAATACTTATTAAATAAAATCTTTAAGAGCAGGTCAATACTTGAGTGATTTTTTTTATCTGAAACGACTTAAAATTACCGAAAAAAGAGATTCAGGTACAGTTTGGGTTGTTGCTCACTGCAATGAATCATCAAGTCTTGTGAATTTTGTTATTGAATCTCACTAAATTTCTGGTGGATATTTTGTTAAGATCGGAGCTGATAGTGGCAAAAGGTTTCCTTAAGTTTTGTCTAAGCATTATTAATACTGCGTTAAGGATTGATACCAACTCACCGCCATAAAAACAACTTCTCACTCAAAGGATTGGCAAGCACTCTGGAGTTAAGTGACAAATTCTTGTTGCGGTATTAGAAGATTTGTCAGGAACTCACTCATTGAACAAATCTGGTCACTAATTAATCCAAATGGAGTTAAACTAATTTTGGCTTGTGATATGAAAGTTGCAAATATAATTTGTGATCTTCATGTATGCACCCTTGTACATGGTGTGACGTCAAATCCTGGTTTATATAATTTATATAATTTTGCTATTTATATAAACCAGGGCCGACGACACGGGTATCGAAGTGGAGGGCACAATTGTCAATTGTTTAAAAAAGTCCTCTATATATAATTATCTTTTTCAAAAAAGAAAAAAAAACCTTGAGAAAAGAAGTGGGGTGCCCCCTCGCCCTTCCCCCTTCTACCGTGTCGTCGACTCTGTAAACTACGATTCTCTTTAAAAAAAAAACAAAATTTAATTACAAATATATAAATAATAAACAGACAGGGGCTAAATGAAGATATGGATAGCAAAATACCAACCTGATCTTTTTATGGAGCCCGTACAGGTTCTAACAATAATAGTAAAATAGGGTAAATAAATCGAGTAGAAAGTTTAGCAAAAAAAAAAAAAAAATTAATAATAAGTAAAAAAGAAGATATAATATTAAAAAAAGCAAATAAAGAAAAAAAGAAGATATATAAATTAAAAGTACAAATATCCTCAATTAGTCAAAAAAGAATATTAAAAAATACATATAATGAATAAATGATATATAGTATTTAAAAACATAAATAGTCGCCAATAGACAAAAAATATCAGGAAAATAATATATATATATATATATATATATATATATATATATATATATATATATATATATATATATATATATATATATATATTAGGGTGGAGCGATTTTCATAGCAAAAAAAAAAAAGTTTAAAAATTAATATTCCTGAGACACGAATCGATGTCTATTAATTATAAGATGAAAGTAAAAAAATATTTTTTGATTTTGATGAGATTTTGAGGTTCCTCTTTGGATTCTAAATCCTTGACGGATCCTAATATTTTTGAATTTTTTTTCTTTCTAAACTATATCAAGCTTGGACTCAAAAAAAGCAGAAAAAAATGCTTGTTTTATCAATAATAATTTTATTAAAAAAAAAATTTTTGTGAAAAAAATATTTGCAAAAATATACCTTAAAACCCCCGTTTTGATGAAGACGGGGGTTTTTAATGGAAAAAACGACATTAATTCTTATTCTTTAAATTTAAATTAAAACAAATATTATATTCAAAATAAGCGTATTATTCTGCTTCTTTTGAGTACCAGGTTTATATAGTTTAGAAGAAAAAAAATTTCAACAATATTAGGATCCGTCATAAATTTAGAATCCAGAGAGGAACCACTAAAACTTATTTAAATTAAAAAAAAAAAAAAAGTAAGGTTCTTTTTTCACCAAAAGACATCGATTCGCAGCTCAGGCAAATCAAATTTCAAAAATTTTTAAAATCGCTCCACCCTTATATATATATATATATATATATATATATATATATATATATATATATATATATATATATATATATATATATATATATATTAGGGTATATTAGGGTGGAGCGATATATATATATATATATATATATATATATATATATATATATATATATATATATATATATATATATATATATATACATATATATATATCAGGGGCGGACTTAAACCCCGTCAAGTGCTGCAAGTGACGGGGTAAAAAAACAAAAATATATATAAGTATTATGACGTCTAACGCCCGCCTAAAGTTAATTGCCGATCTATATAATTTTGTTAGAAAATATAATTAGAAAAAGTTTACAGTGAAAACTATGCTTTGCAGACATTTGAAAAAGTGTTTTATAAAAATTGCTAATGTAAACTATACTTTATATATATATATATATATATATATATATATATATATATATATATACATATATCAATAACGTAGCAAAGGGCCGCAGCTCTTCGGGTGATGAGGGGGGCTAGCGTTAATAGAGGCCATTGAAATTAACTTTAGAAAAAAAAAATTTAAAAGTTATCACTGTAAAAAATAGTATGCATATATGTAAATATATCAACATGTACAATTTGAACTATTATTATAATATTGTAGCTAAGAAATGCAAACTATATTTTAAATTATTTTTTTAAACTGCAATCTTGACTAACACTTTAAAAAATGAGTAACATATATTTATATCTAAAAGTTAAAACAAACTACATTAGTTCATAAATAATATATATATATATATACATATATATATATATACATATATATATATATATATATATATATATATATATATATATATATATATATATATATATATATATATATATATATATATATATATTTATATATACAATTTTATTGAGTGGCATAACAATAAATGTGATATAGGTTGCTCATTGATATTGACCGCTGCACTTATGTTATATTTGACATTACCCGTTAGCGTGGCATCAGCAAACATATCAAAGAAATTTAGGGGCCCGGATTAAAAGTTTGCGGGGGAAGGAGAGAGGTTTTTTTTTGTCACTACGCTACTGACATATATGTATATGTATATGTACATATATATATATATATATATATATATATATATATATATATATATATATATATATATATATATATATATATATATATATATATATACATACATATATGCTTCCCAATGCAGACTAAATGTTTGAGTTTAATTCTTTACGACCTGTGATCCTGAGATTTATTTCAATATCATCATTTATAAAGTGACATATTTTAACTCCATTTTGTGTAACAAAACGCCGTGTTATGTAATAAAATCTCAAATCTTTCTATTTTTGAATCTCCTTCATTCATTTTCTTATAGACTTCAATCTAATCATTTTTATAAATCTCTTCACACGGTATTAAATTCGTTTCAACCTTTGGATGTGTGTACATGTCATTAAGTTTTGCATTGTAGCAGAAGGTTAAATTTGTTAGGCAACATTATTTCGTAAAACAAAATACTTTATTGCGGAAAATGCTTCAATGCCGTGTCTTCTTTCCCATATGATTTCAAAACATCAAACAAAATTTGCGTTGTGGCATTAGGATTCAACTCTTTCCATTCTAATAGCATAGCAAAAGCTTTTTCAGAGATGTCGTCGTAGCTATGATGATCTTTACTTATCGATTCAATTTTAGAGTTAGGTACTTTAAGTTTTCTACCTAAGTGTTTCCAATAAGTACATACATCTTTAGATAAATCTTCCAACATTTCTTCGGTAGGTCGTATTACTTGAACTTCTACTGAACGGATCTTTTTGGGACTTATTGGGATATGTTGATTTAGAGCTAGTAAAGAAAATATAAAAAAATAATGTTGCATAAACATAAGTTAGCAACAAATAAAAAAAACGTTAAAAGTTATATAAAACAATAAATAAAATTGAAAAAAAGAATAAGAATTTTTTTTTTTTAATATCTTTATCAATATTTGATCATTTATTTCTGATATGTCTATAACGACTCATTAGTTATGAATGATCAAATTAATAAAACTTTAATTTATACCAAAAATTGAATTACAGGAAGTCATAAATGTCGTAACTAGTGTAATATTTCACACATTGAATATTTTGACACTATTATAGAAAGAAATCTTTAGAACTGTTTACTTCAACTTTATATATTTCAATTCTGATTTTTTATTTAATAGACATTCCTGTTTTGCATGTGTAATTATTTCAAAATTTTCTTGTAGACATTAGGGTGCATCAAACGCCCCATACTTTCAAAAATTGATCTGTCCCTATTCTTAAAACTTTCTATTGGTACTCACAAGACACTCTGTTAAATTTTTTCAGAATTGAATGAGATCAAGGGGGGCCATCTCAAATCTGAAACTTGCGACGAGACCCTAAACAGAAGAAAAAATTTTTTTTCAAATGTATGTCATGTTGGGTCTCAAAAGAAGCGAAATTTTATAAAAAAATTTCAAAAACAATAAAAATTTTACATAATATTTATTATTATAAGTTTTATTGCATAAAAATTATTTTTTAGCAAAAAATTAAAAAAAAGCCATTTTTTCATGGTTTTTAGTCGAAATTTTTTTTCAAGGTATTTTTAACAAAAAATTATAACTATTTTTGAAATTTTTATAAAGTTTCGCTTCTTTTGAGACCCAATATGATATACATTTGAAAAACTTTTTATATTGGCTTAACAGAGGGCGAATGTAAAAAATATATTGGCTTAACAGAGGGTGAATGTAAAAAATATATTGGCTTAACAGAGGGCGAATGTAAAAAATATATTGGCTTAACAGAGGGTGAATGTAAAAAATATATTGGCTTAACAGAGGGTGAATGTAAAAAATATATTGGCTTAACAGAGGGTGAATGTAAAAAATATATTGGCTTAACAGAGGGTGAATGTAAAAAATATATTGGCTTAACAGAGGGTGAATGTAAAAAATATATTGGCTTAACAGAGGGTGAATGTAAAAAATATATTGGCTTAACAGAGGGTGAATTTACATTCATCATACAAAAAACGTTTTAAAATATCAAGTATTTATTCTTTAAAAATATAAAGTATTCAAAAGACACCATGCTGTCAAAGTATATATTGGAATTAAAAAATAAAAAGATGATTTTATATTTAATTGGTTCACCTAGCTTTATGCAAGCTAGGTTGAAAAAAATTATTATTTTCACAATTACATACCCAAATGCAAATTCCAATAGGTAATAACTCGTGGTGTAAATTATGAAAAACATTCCAGTGCAATAAGTCATAAGCAATTAAAAAGGCGCTAAAATGAAATTTCATTTTTTTAAAAACTTAGTAACAAACTTACAGCATTTGTAATGCTATTTAACAAGATTTTTTAAAAAAGGAATCATTTAATTGCATGAATTTACTTTAAAGAGCAAGTACTATTTAATTAAATTTAATATTTTATACATAAGAGAAGCAAAATGTATTATAATATGGTTATAATATGGTTTATTTTTAATTTTTCAACTTATACAACTTTTTGTACCCACATGTATCCAAGCTAACTTTTTTAACAGTGTATAGCTAAAGTAAAACGGTGTAAAATTTTACACCAAATCAATATTTCAGATTACGTGCGCTCTTTTTCAAAAATGGAGTTATTTAAAGAATGGCTGAAACATAATCAAGAAAAATGAAATTCTTGTTTATTGGATTTTATTTTACAAAGATTTTGTGCTAATGATGCAACTAGAGATTCAGAAAAGTCTTTGAAAAATTTTATGTATCAAAATTCACCATAAAATGGTCTGCGGCACATATGAAGATGGACCATATTTTAAACGAAAGGTTGAAGATATAATAAATTTGCAAAGGGCAACTTAATTGACCACAGCTGCTGAAGTAGCGTGTTATTTGTTGGGGCACAGAAACCAAGCTACTTTGATCAGAAAGAGTTTGGAATTGTCAGAAAAATAAAATCAAAAGACTTCATTTATGGTAGAAGGCATTTGAATTGTGACAAGGCATTAGCTTGTTATATTGACTCTAAATGTACAAGTCATTCTTATAAACAGACATGAAAGTGGTCTTTAAAGGCAGAACATATAGTATTTCTATCTTATTATAGTCTAAGTCAAAAAAGTTTTGTTATCCATAACATGAACATGTTTTTGTTTATGCTAAATTAACCTACAAGCTATACATGTATTTTTCAAAATACTATTTGGCAAAATCTGCGATTTTTATCTGTACTTTTTTGCAGACCAATTAAATTTGTTTTTTCAAAAGAAACAAATCTTTTTACTACAACAGAAACTAAACAAGTTTTAAAAAAAAGTATTTCAACGTATTCCAACATCTATAAGACTTTTACAATTTTCAAATTGCTGTTAAACCTGACTAATACTCTCAAATATAAAAAGTTTGCAATGCCTTGACTGACACAAGTTCCCAACAAAAATGTTACATATGTGGTGCGACTCCTAAAATTATGAACAGTGAACTTAAAGACTTGGTTGTTAAATAAGAACACTATGGTTATGGTCTGTTGTTAAATAAGAACACTATGGTTATGGTCTGTCTACTTTGCATGTGTAGATTTGTTTTTTTGAGTGCATGTTACACATTTGCTACTGTTTAGATAAAAAAAAGTGGCAAGTTAGAAGCGATGAAGTTAAATTAAAAAATATTTAGAAGATATTGAACAAAAATTTAAAAACCATTTGGGCTTTACTGTAGACAAACCAAAATCTGGTTTTGGGAATACAAATGATGGGAACACAGCAGGCAGGTTTTCATGAAGCCAGAGTTAAGTACTAAGATTGCAGGTTTAGACATCAATCTCATTAAAAAATTTCAGTATTTTATTAAGAACACTTTCTGAAGGCTATAATATTAATTATTATGAATTTGAAAAAAAGCATACTTAAAAATACATACAAAAAAAGCGTACTTCTACAAACTAAAAAATTCAACAGAAATAAACAATTCTATAGAATTCTTTTTATAACAGTGTCACCAAATTCAATAAATTTAAGAGCGCCTAATAAATAGAAAATATTTATATATTTATTAAAGTTTTTTTTTAAATATAGAGTACTCATTAATTTTTATTTTGATATATTTTAAATTATCCAATCTCCTTTACTTGAGCAAGACTACAAACTTTTAGCTTCACTCCCCTCATCAAGTTTTGCACGGTGCTATCAGGAACTTTACCACAAAATTTTTTCCTCTTTTTAAGCAGCTTGAACTCTGATTTTACTTTGTGTTTTATTTAAACATACAAATATTTTTCTATAGGTTGTTTTTGCAGACAATTTGGTTGGTTATGATCTTTAGGAATAATTTCAACGTTGTTTTTTCAGTACCAATTCATTGTTCCCTCATCAAGTTTTAAACAGTGCTAACAGAAATTTTATCACAAACTTTTCTTCACTTTTTAAGCAACTTGAACTTTGTATTGGCTTTAACTGTGACTTATTTAACTTAAATTTAAATATATAGCCCAAATTTTTCTATAGGACGCATTTGTTGACAATTTGGTGGGTTGTGATCTTTAAGAACAATTTCAATCCCATTTTTTGGTACCAATTCATTGTTGCTTTAGCATAGTGACAGCTTGCTAAATCAGGCCAAAACCTTACAAGAACATTATAAGATTTTATAAAAGATAGAAGATGTTTTTTCAGGCACTCCTTTTTATAGAGTTCAGCTATAAATTGCTTGCCATATCATACATTTCCTGCCAAACATATATAGCTTTTTATATTTATTGCTTACAACTCCACACTTAATGCCAGCATAAAACCAGTAACTAGGTATTTGTCTTAAATCTAATTTAACATAAGTTCCATCATCAAGAATTAGGCAGCCATCGAACTTTGTCAGAATGTTGTTGTACAATTTTCTCGCTTGCATTTTAATACACTTTTGCTGCTTTTCAGTATGGTTTGAATATTTTACCTTGCGATTAGAGTGAATACCAAAAAATTGTTGACTTTTTGCGTAAAAGAACACGATGTATTGTATCTATTTGTTTTTTCATAGCTAGATAGTCCAGGATTCGTCAAGTATGAACAACGAATTTTCAAATCAACTTTTTATTTTCAAACCCCTTTATTCTGTCAGATCCTGACTTACAATTGATGGATAAAGATTTTTTGTTGAGAACCCAAAATATAGTTTACTGACAAAATTAACAAACAAAAATATAAACTTTGGCTAGTTTAGAAATTGTTCTAGATGATAATACACAAAATACACAAAATTCTATCACAATTTGTTCTTTTGACATCATTTTTAATAACAATCTTTCAGGAAAACATTTGTTTACTTCTTTTTTTTTGAAAAAGTAGTACTAAGCTTTGTTTATATTTAAAAACTTTACTTTTTTGTATCATTTATTTAAAGCTCTAAAAATTCAGTCAATTTTTTCATATTTTAGTTAAAACAATAGTTAATAACTTTTTGTAATTTAATTTTTGGTATAAATTGAAGTTTTATCAAGTTGAACACTCATTTCTGATGAGTCTTTATAGAAAAAACACAGTAAAATGAAAAAAAGTTGATGATAAGTGTTTTTAACTTATATATATATAAGTTAAAAACACTTATCAACTTTCACTTATTAACTTTTATATATATATATATATATATATATATATATATATATATATATATATATATATATATATATATATATATGTAACTTATATGTATTCATTAATAATGATTTTACGATGTTTATGTAGCTAATATTTGCTCACAATAATATCAATAAACTGTCAATAGTTCAAATGCCATCAGCTCATCATCATCATCATCATCATCATCATCATCATCATCAT